TCCTGCCTGAGACTTGCTTCTTCAGTGTTTATCTCCATTCTCTGAGCTACCTCATGTCTTTCCAATACTTTCCGTAGGCTTAGGTTGGCCAGGGGTAGTTTCTGTTGTTTGCAAGCACAGGACTCTAACCAATAACAGCTGACTTGAAAAAAATTTTGCTTTCAGTAACACTTGCCGAAACAGAACTGCAACGTAGGTTCCATAGGAAAAAGTTGGCCCTGGGTACACCCTCCCTCAAAGCTCAGTGTGAAAGTGCTTTTCAGGCTTATCGCTATGCTGTTCAGTCTAACTGATGACATTCCACTTTCACGTTCCCTGAAGTGACTGTTCCTTCACAGAGCAACCTTTCTGTTAGTTTGTAGCTCTTAGAAATGTCTCCAGCAAGGGGACATCGCTTAGTCAGTGGTGATTTTAACTCCATTGCCCCCAAACTGTCCATCTGGGTGGTTAGAGTGGTGAAATGCAATCTGACTTGAGCACAATAGCCCAGAGTGGACTCCCTGCTTGATTGATTCTAGGGCTTGCTGCCAGTAGGAAGTGAAGACACTACTCATTGTCTTTCCTGACAATGTGTTCCTGACCTCCTGTGAGGATGTTTGGAAGGAACTTACACATATGCAGGAACACATTGGTATCTCCAGAATGACATTCAGACAGTGTAGTCTGAATTTGCATCCAGGAAAAAAAAAGTCTCCAAGAAAACAAAATTATCTTCAAAGAGATTCCCAAGCACTTGTTGAAAACAGCTTTTTCTTCCTTTAAAATTTTGTTGTTTTAATATTCTTTAAAATAATATATATAATTACATATAATTAATCTTATATATAGTTTAGTATTATAATTGTTAATATAATTACACAGAGCAGTTTAGCTTCTCATTAGCCACTCAAGAAACAGATTTTTGCATTGCCAAACATCCAATCATTTAGCAAATATTTTGGGGTCAACTATGTGCTAGGCACATAGCAAAAACAAACCAACAGGGTCCTTACCCTTACAGTGCTTAGAGTCCAGAGGGACAACAGACATTAATCAAGATGTTATACTTGTACCCCATTGCAATGTGTTATAAGTGCTATGAAAGACAAGTACAAAGATCTGTGAGAGATTGAGAATAAATGGTTTTCCTCAAAACAGTTTCCATAATTCCAAGTGGATTTCTTAAAAAGACTAGAGAGCAATCCCTCCCCCTGCCCTATGAGTCTGTAAATAGTTTGTGAATGTATCAGCCCAGCCCTGGTCAAAAGAACCATAGAAGATCTAGTCCCCCTTTCAGAGCAAAACCTAGGGATACTGCCTTTATTTTCTCATTGTGTTAGTCATTATTGTTTTCAAAGCCAAATAGAAGAAGAAAATAAGAAAATAATTCAGTCACAATGTCCTAAAGAGGGCATTGTGGTGGTGCAGTGGTTAAGAGTCCGCCTACCAATGCAGGGGACACGGGTTCGATCCCTGGTCCAGGAAGATCCCACATGCCATGGAGCAACTGAGCCCGTGCACCACAACTACTGAGCCTGCGCTCTAGAGCCTGTGAGCCACAACTACTGAAGCCCATGAGCCACAACTACTGAAGCCCGTGTGCTGCAACTACTGAAGCCCACGCACCTAGAGCCCATGCTCTACAACAACAGAAGCCACTGCAATGAGAAGCCTGCACACCGCAACGAAGAGTAGCCCTTGCTCGCCACAACTAGAGAAAGCCTGCGTGCAACAATGAAGACCCAATGCAGCCAAAAATAAATTTTAAAAAAATGTCCTAAAGAATAAAAGACTTCCATTTCAAAGGCAAATACAAATGGGGAGATATATTCATTTTCTATTGCTGCTATAATAAATTACCACACATGTAGTGACAATGCAAATTTATTACCTTAAAATTCTATAGGTCAGAAGTCCAACTGGGTCTCACTAGGCTAAAATCAAGGCACTGGCCTTTCTGAAGTTTCTAGGAAAGTATCAGTTTCTTTGCCTTTTTCCATCGTCTGGAGGCTTCCTTCATTTCTTGGAGGCTTCCTCTATCTTCGAAGTCAGCAACAGGTTGAGTCTTCATGTCACATTTCTCTAATGTACTCGCTGCCTCCCTCTTCCACTTTTAAGGACTCATGTGATTAAAAACAGATCCACCCAGATAATCCAATATAAGATCCCCAGCTCAAATTCTGTACCCTTAATTGTACCTGCAAAGTCTCCTTTGCCTTGTAACGTAACATATTCATAGGTTCTGCGGATTAGAATATGGACATCTTTGAGGGGCCATTATTCTGCCTACTACAGAAGGCATGGAAAATGTTGGTAAAGGTGAAAATAAGTAGAGATGCTTCATTCTGTGTGGACAAATAGATACAACGTGATGCCATTTTTCTACTTACGGTGGTTATCTCTGGGCAGTGGAATTATGGGTAATTTTTCTTTATACATCTCTGTTTTCCAAGTTTTCTACATTACAAATAAAATAATTTTTTTAAAAAAAGCATTATATTTTCGTTATTTAGGAGAATGTCTGAATTGTTAGGAAGGGCATGTTGAACTATTTCAGAGTATTGTCATGATGTCTGCAACTCACTGTCAAAAGTTCAGAAAACGTGGGGCTTCCCCGGTGGCGCAGCAGTTGAGAGTCTGCCTGCCGGTGCAGGGGACACGGGTTCGTGCCCCGGCCCGGGAAGATCTCACATGCCGCGGAGCGGCAAAATTCAGAAAACACACAGATACATAGATAGATATGGCCAAATGGTAACAACTTTTACTCACAGAGGAGTATATATGTGCGTTCATTGCAATTGTAGTTTTCCTGTACATTTGAAATGTTTTATAATAAAAAGCAAAGCTTTAATGGACAGAGATTCTGTGTTGATTTCATATTATTCTAATTATCATTTTCAAGAATAACTTCAGAGTCTAAGAGTAAGAAGATAAGTCACAAAATCAAGGCACGTTTTCTTTGGCAACCATCTTTGCCACTGATACCAAATTATATAATTAGATTCCAGGAGCTAGAGAGATGGACCTGACTGGTTTCACTTGAAAAGGTCTCATTTCTATAGGGATGCTTGTTCGCTGTCAGTAGCCCACTAATTTCTCCTAGCATTTCATGTGTTGTGCTTGTTAACATGCTGGACTTGTACAGAGGAGCCTGGGTTCTCAAAGCAGTATGCCCAAGGTGGGACCAGCTCTATAATTTGACAGGCCCAGTACAAAGTAAAACTGAGGGACCTTTCGTTAAAAAAGTATTAAGAATTTCAAGACAGCAGAGTCCTCAAGCCCCATGTAAGGTCACACATTCATGAAATCAGCCCTACAGAAAGCCCAGCAGATTCCAGCAACAGTCTTCTCCCACCAAGCCTCATATGCTGAGCATGCTCGGTGGGAATGGGAGTGGAGGAAGAGCAGGCACTATAGACTCATTTTACTGCATAGTCTGTTTACTCCATTTCAACCAGTCGTCTTAGGGATGCTTAAGATCAAAGATTCCTGAGAAATCTATGAATTCTCCAAATTATAACCATTCAGTGAGATGCTTTTGACCATTATCTATGACCGTGTTGTACAGTTGTAGGAACAATGCATTTATGTGAAAGAAAAGCTCTAACGGAGCTTATCAAAAGGAAATACAAATAATTACATTAAAAAACGATGATTTTGGGCTTCGCTGGTGGCACAGTGGTTGGGAGTCCGCCTGCTGATGCAGGGGACACAGGTTTGTGCCCAGGTCCGGAAAGATCCCACATGCCGCGGAGCAGCTGGGCCCATGAGCCATGGCCGCTGAGCCTGCGCGTCCGGAGCCTGTGCTCCGCAATGGGAGAGGCCACAACAGTGAGAGGCCCGCGTACTGAAAAACAAAAACAAAAACAAAAAAAACCTGATGATTTAAAATGTTATAGTCTTGGGACTTCCCTGGTGGCACAGTGGTTAAGAATCTGCCTGCCAATGCAGGGGACATGGGTTCGAGCCCTGGTCTGGGAAGATCCCACATGCTACGGAGCAATGAAGCCCGTGAGCCACAACTACTGAGCCCGCGTGCCACAGCTACTGAAGCCCGCACACCTAGAGCCCGTGCTCCGCAACAAGAGAAGCCACCGCAATGAGAAGCCCGTGCACCGCAATGAAGAGTAGCCCCCGCCCGCCGCAACTAGAGAAAGCCCGCGCACAGCAACGAAGACCTAGCACGGCCAAAAATAAATAAAATAAAATAAAATGTTATAGTCTTCCTAGAATAAAGAATATACTTAAAATATTTTTTTAAAAACTCACTAGATGAACAAAACCACCACACAGAAAGTCTCTGATATTTTAATTGATAACTAAGTTATTTAAAAACAAACCCAAATGTACCAATAAAAATTCAGAAAGAAAATGCCTCATGTGGCTTTCTGACCCATCCCTTTTATTCTTAAGCATTTGCTGCATTCCAGCTAACATTCTTAAATTGATTATAAAAAGCAAGAGAACGCTTCCAGTAATCAAAAAGGGACTTACACAAGAGTGACAAAAATAAATAGAATTTCTTCTCTTCCTCTTCTTTCTCCCCTTGTCCAGGCTTTTTGCTATTGATATAAAGTATTTATCACTTTTAGGAATAAGACTCCTAGTGTTGATTTTCCCATTTCTGATAAATGATATGGTATTTTTTTAAAGGGCATGCCTCATATGGCTTAGAAAAACATCTGGAAGGATATAGCTAATAAACTGTTAATAGTAGCTAGCCCTAGGCTGAGGATTTGTGATGAGGATAGAGAGGATTTTTACTTTCCTTACTGTTGCTTATATGAATATATGCAATGAATATGTATTAGCTTTATCAATCAAAAAAAAACAAAACAAAACACTAAAGAAAATTTTTAAAAAGAAAAAAACTCAAACAACCCAGCACGTACTTTAGATCTAGCATGGTGATTTAGGATCAGTCACTCAATCTCTTTAAGCCTTAGTTTCCTTACCTATAAAATGGGGTTAATACCACACAGAGATGTCATGAGGAAAACGTGTGGTAAATACACCCTCAAGTGCTCGCTTCTGCAGCACATATACTAAAATTGGAACGATAGAGAAGATTAGCATGGCCGCTGCGCAAGGATGACATGCAAATTCGTGAAGTGTTCTATACTTTTAAGAAACGAAATTGAGTTATTTGTAGTGAGGTGGATGGACCTAGAGTCTGTCATACAGAGTGAAGTAAGTCAGAAAGCGAAAAACAAATACTGTATGCTAACATATATATATGGAATCTGAAAAAAAAAAAAAAAAGGTCATGAAGGACCTAGGGGCAGGACAGGAATAAAGACGCAGACCTACTAGAGAATGGACTTGAGGACATGGGGAGGGGGAAGGGTAAGCTGGGACAAAGTGAGAGAGTGGCATGTACATATACACACTACCAAATGTAAAACCGATAGCTAGTGGGAAGCAGCTTCATAGCACAGGGTGAACAGTTCGGTGATTTGTGCCCACCTAGAGGGGTGGGATAGGGAGGATGGGAGTGGGGGAGATGCAAGAGGGAAGAGATAAGGGGATGTGTGTATATGTATAGCTGATTCACTTTGTTATAAAGCAGAAACTAACACACCATTGTAAAGCAATTATACTCCAATAAAGATGTTAAAAAAAATACACCTTCAATAAATGTACCTTCTCTGAGCCTCAGGTTCCTTGCCTGCAAAATGAGGGAGCTGGATTAGTTGTCCATGATCCTTTCGAGAGTTAATCTTCTGATTCCCTCTTTTTATTTTCACAGAAAAAGACTGCTGAATGAAAAATAAATGTCTTTACTTGTCTTCAGGTAATTGTTCTTCTTTTATTTCCTGAAGAACCAGGAAGCCAAAAACCAATGAGCAGTACCTCTGGAATGTCTGGGCAACTCCACCCTGGGCACCTGGGAAATTACAGAGTATTTCCACTCATTAGACTCTCCCTGATGAGGAGAGCTTTCCTTATTGTGAAGAAGATTAAACTTCAGTTTCGAGAAGCTAGTGTGTGCCATTAAAAATATTATATCCTCTCAATTTTAATATTTGACTACTCCAGGTCTCCTCTTTAGTTAGTTTACTTATACGTATTTGCAAACCAGATACTCTATTTAAGCAATTATGCAAGTGTTCAATAATTCATGATATCATATGTCATTGGTTAAAATCCAATTAGATGAGTATCACTTAGGGAGGGTTGCATACTGAATGAGTTTACAGAGTAAACTCTGTAAGTTGAGCTGTCTCTTACACATCTCAAATGCTAATGATTGCCTGTCTTTCATGGTACCAGGGTAATAATTTTACAATTCGTTCTTTGTTTTTCTTAGATTGAAAAGTAGCATGGATCATAGCAGTGGTAATAATGATCAGTTTATTAAAAAAGTAAAAACAATAAAGGAAGAGAAAGCTACCACATTGGGAAATACTATCATTCTAAATTTCTCAAAACATAACATGCTTTTTATTTAATTAAAAGATTGTATGGATACAGAATCGTAGAGAGGAACACCCACATGGCTTAGAATTCAAAATATCTCATGTATGAGATGTCTAATTTAAGCCTTTTCTGTGCCTACCAAATACCAGTGGGTGAGGAACGCCTTCATTGCCATTTTAGCATTTCCAGCACCCTGTGTAGCTTGGTGAGATTCTTTACCCTTCCAGGTTATAGCAGTCCTAGCTTTTCTTTGAAAAAAGTGTGAAAAAGCATATTCTATTTAACATTAATTTTAAGAGATTGTAGTAGAACTCAACATAAAGAGACACTTTTTGTTTCCACATTTATGAACAAGTTTCTCCATATACAAGTTAGAGACATTACAACTTGCTCCTTACTGTATGTGGAAGGCTGGAAGAATTCTTTTTTTTTTCTTTTAATTTATTTATTTTTGGCTGTGTTGGGTCTTTATTGCTGCACACAGGCTTTCTCTAGTTGCAGCGAGTGGGGCCTCCTCTTGTTGCGGAGCACGGGCTCTAGGCACATGGGCTTCAGTAGTTGTGGCACACAGGCTCAGGCTCAGCAGCTGTGGTTCACAGGCTCAGTAGTTGTGGCGCATGGGATTAGTTGCTCTGCAGCATGTGGGATCCTCCTGGACCAGGGCTCAAACCCATGTCCCCTGCATTGGCAGGTGGATTCTTAACAACTGCACCACCAGGGAAGCCCTGGAAGAATTCTTAATATTAGTAATAATAATAGAAACTAACATTCTCTGAGCATCTATTATTTTCTAGGCATCATTATCGTATTTAATCCTAACATAATTTTATTCAATCCTAACAAGACTCCGTGGGGGTACTATCTACTTTTCTTCAAATGAGGAAATTGAAACTTAGAGAAGCTTAATAATTTATAATTTACAGTGCTTTTAAATGGTGATGTAATGTGTGATTCTGAAACCTTGATTTTCATTATTCTACTTTGATCTTCTAGGAGAAAGATGGAAATACTCCGAAGACCACTGCATTGCCTGCAAGTCCTTCAGCAACTGAAACCACTTTTCTGTGTCCTTCTTTCTTGACCACCTCTCCTTATGCTCCAGTAATACAGACCTACTTGTAATTCCCTTAAAGTCCTTTTCTCCCGAGTCTCTGGGTGTCTGTAATGTTTCCTTGGCCTAAAATTTCATTATCCCATTACTATCACACTAGCTGGCCTACTCCTACCCATTTTTCATCTCAGTTTAAACTATTCCTCCATGCTCCCATTCCTCTTGATAAACTCATTACAGCAAGAATCTTATTGTGTCATCAACTAAATTGTAAGTAACTCAAGGGAGTCTTTCTTTTTTAATTGTTGTATTTCCAGAGCCTGTCGCAGTAGCTGTTTCCCACATTCAAGTTAAATATTTATAGAGTGAATGAATGACAAGAATGCATAAATGACTTATAAGTTCATGCACAGAACTCATTAGGGGATGTGGCGGGTTCTATATTACTTTACTCCACAGAAGTCTAAAAGTTACCACAAGTGAAAAATTTTCATCCTCTTATATTAAAACTTTTCAACATATCCTTATTTTTCTCCAGAATCAAGTACCTGGAAAGAAAGAAAAAAAAAAAGTACCTGGAACATGGTAATAATTCAATACATATCTGCTGAAATAGTGAAGAGTGTTAGAAAAGTACACAAGGTCCTTATAATCTAACATATTCCCTCCAGACTCACTTTGTGCCACTTCTACTTTATCCTGTAATGAGTAACAGTATGTAATTTTCAATCACGTATCAAATATTTATTGAGTTACTATTATGTGCCAGACACATTGGTCCACCATTTCAAATAGCCTTATTCTTTTTCTTGCTAAACCTTCTTCCTGGAAACTTCTGAAGCCATTCATCAAATACCATATTCATTGCCGTTTTCCTACCAGCCTTGTTTCAGTTCAGTTACCTCCTGTAGAAGGCCGTCTCTGACCCCTTTAGCACCCAGTGCTTGTTTCCAACTTAGCCTTAATTACATCAAAGTGAAGTTATCTCTGTTTGTCACCTTCCTCTCCCCATCCCTATCTCACAATACTCAGGTGTACTCTCAGAGGGCATGGATTGAGGTTTTGTTCACCTATGTGTCCCCAGGGCCCAGCACAGAGTTTAGGATAGGGCCCAAACCCTGTATATAAGAATTGAAATGCAAAGTAGTTACTCTTTTAGGAGCAAATGGATTACTACCTTGAATTCTCACAAGAAGTGAATTAAGTATTATCTCCGTGTAATAGATGACAAAACGAGGATTGAAGAGGTTTAGAAACGTGCCCAAGGTCACAAAGTGGTGGAGCCTGTTGTCAAAGGAAACTGAAGAATGAAGCCACCACTGATTCTAAATGAGTAAGACTCACTCCCCCTGTCTTTTCTTGAAATTTTCGTTTAGATTTTGCAAAATCTTTCCTTCTTCGGACTAATGACTCCTCATCTACCTTAATGTTTTGAGTGGAAGCAGTCCCCCTTTCTTCATATTCGAAATTGTTCGACCACTCTCAGGAAGCAACGTGATGTTAAACTTTATGAAGTCACATTCATTCCAGGGTTGAATCTGAGTTAGGAGCCCTGGGGTACAGGACAGGCCCAGTGAGAAGAAAGGTTGTTTGAAATGGAATGCAGGGACTAAGAAAGAGTGTTCCTCCGGGCAGGATAACACAGTGAAGACTTCAGCAAGGGGAGGATAGACCTTGTTTTAGATGCACAAATCCCAAGGCTTGTGGGAATTTAGTTGCTCACACCTAAGGCGGCTGTGGGGGACTGTGCTGCCCACAGCTAAGATGGATGCTAATAACCTCTCCTTTGGATGGGGTTGTTCGTCTTGCTCAGTGGTATTTTCAACGACGACTATAGTGAATAAAATTTAGTAAAAGTAGGCGCCTTTTACCAAGACGCTAAAGTAGGAATTTGGCAAGTTATGTTTAGAAAACCTTCACCAGGTCAAATTTTTTTCCTGCCCTTAACCAAAATGGTACAGGTTGTCCCACGGTGCTGAAGCGTCTAACCCTTAACTAAGATGGCGTTCGGAGGCTTGTTAAAAATTAGCTTGCCCTCTTTTTCTGCCCTTGTCCATCATGGCTTCCGAGGCATCGATCACGTGACTTCCGGACTACGGCGCGGGAGAGAGGGTAGGAGGGCCCTTGAAGGGTGCGCGTTCCCGTGGCGGTGCACCGGGTAGGTTTCAGTCAGAGTCACTATGGCGGCTGGCGCTGGCAAGGTAAGCTGAGGCGGCGGCGGCAAGGGAAGCTGGACCCGTTGTGGCGTCCGGGCGCCCAGTCCCCGCAGCCCGTCCGCAGAGAGGTCGGCCGAGGTCGTGGCCAGTCGCGGGGGCTGGCTCGGGTGGGTTGAGAGGGGCGAAGGCTGAGGCGGGCGGGCACCGGCGGCTGACGGCCGTTTGTTTTCATGTTTGCCCCACCAGATCGGAAAGTTTTCTGCCTCGTCGGGCACAGCCTGAGGGTGTCCCACCGGCCGCGAGTGGTGGAGGCTGCGGCGGACCCAGCCCGGGGCCTCCAGGCCTCTCCCCCAACCTTCGGGCCGGCCTCCCTCCCCCACCTCCTCGTCAGCCCGGAGCTTCGGCTGCCGCCCCTGAGATGCGACCCTCGCGGGGGCGACCCTAAAAGGAGGCGGCCGGTGTGCTGAGCAGCAGCCAGGAGCCCAGGTGTTCGGGGACC